ATACTAAGTTTTTTTATCCCCGCCACAGCTTCTCCCTTCTTCGAATGAATCCGGCGCCGAAACGCGCCCGGATCCATTCCTTCTTCTACTCCTTCGCTGCCTGCGTCCGCCAGCTTAGTTCGTCGTAGCTCGGAATGCCCCTGGCGCAACTCGCCGCCCCCCTGCGCTATCACCTACTCCAACCTCCGTCGCAGTCCGATCGGGCTATTCCGACGATACTCAAGAGCGGCCGACTACCCGACGGCCCGAGTAGTTCCTCTTCCTTCTACTCTGCCCGACAGGCGGTGTGCCCGGCAGGTACCGCTGCTGATTTCCCCCCACCACCGTTGCACTCCTCTGCGCTGTGGCCCCGCGCGCTGCTGCCTGTTGCCTGCCTCTGCTCCTATACCCGAGCCCCTACGGGCATGCTCACACTTAAAATTGTCACAGCGGACAGCACGACTAGGCCGGTATGCCCGTCAGTTGGCCTCCGCCAGCATCGTAGGCCAAACACACACCCGTTGGCCTTTCACGTTGACTCCTCGGCCCCTTTTTCCAAGACAGGCGGGACGGAAGACTTCCACCAGCGCCCCAAACATGTAGGAACCCGCCGGGACCGTTAAAGGGGGCGTGTGCTCAAGGTCCTCAATTACCGTGGCAGCCATCCGGGGCCGGTGTCATTCCCTACTTGCGAAAAGTCAAATCATAAAATTAAACACTAACGGCAGTAAATAATAATTAGAAGAAACTCGGAAAAATAACCGTTGGCCCCGTCCCGACACGGCCGATGGCAAAACCGTGAGGGGGGGAGGGATGGCCCCGCCGGCCTTTTATTTACCATGATACTCCCGCGCCGTCGCCGCTCGATCTCGATCCCTGAACCTCCGTATCATCAACCTAGTGCCGTAACCTATAGGGCTAAGCCCAAGCCTGAGGCCAACGCCCGCAGAGTACCATACAAGGTGATGCGGCGCGGCGCTTCGGGCCAACAAACCGGCTGCTCGACTCCCAGTGTCCGCGCCGGCTTGCTTATACCGGGCCATAATTGCCCTGCGCGCCATCCTACGACACCCCATTCCCCGCAGAAAATCGCGCCATTGTTGCGGATGTCGTCGCCGAGGTCGTTCTCCGTATGCGCGCAGGTCTCGGTCAAACATACCACTAACCGAAAATACCCCGAATTCTCGCTTAATCAAATATAAATAAGTATTAATAATATTATTGGACAAAACGTCGGATATCCGACCGACTTTATGATCAAACGCGGAAAAAAAATCACGCGCGCCTTAAACCTGCGCGCCCACGCACTCTTTACCCTAGCGTGGTATACTCAGACTTTAAACCAAACTATTTTCTGCCGCTTGCAAAAAACCAGGGCGGATACCCTTGTAAGGGTATTCGCGCCGACAACTTACCGGACCATATTAAGCGACGTCTCCGTCGCTTCGCCAAATCAGAAAGCTATAAATCCACCCACACTCCAAATGCTGACGAAAGAAAGGAGCCAATCCGATTAACCGACAAAAACAGGGTAGAGGTCTCCATCAAACCATGCCTCCACAACTATATGCTGCCAGGTTTCTAGCCCAGGCCTCTCACCGCCCAGAAATTAGGACGCTGACAACATAAGTTTCAAAGACCTTCCCAATTGTCCTCTCTCCGGTCCTAGACAACCTTCGGCTTCTAGTTGGGTGTCCCTAGTCCTGGCAAAAACTAGGGACGCGGGCCTTAACTGAGACCTTTGAAGGCACTCCGGCCTTCCTTCTCAGAAAATCTCTCGCAATCAAATACACATATGTATATATGTATATTTTAATATCCACTCAGCTCTTTCTGCAGTCTAATACAGAAAGGCTAGGTCTCCATTTTGGCCCACCATAGCCTGGCCGATCGGACCAGGACTACGG